CAGTGCCACGATCGCACGTGCAAAGAAAATGATAGGATGGATAATGAGAACGTTCAAAACGAGAGATGCCAAGAAAATGATGATCCTTTTCAAATCACTTGTTCTCTCTAGGCTGGAATACTGCTGTACATTAACATCTCCATTCAAAGCAGGTGAAATCGCAGATCTAGAGAGTGTACAGAGATCCTTTACTGCACGTATAAGTTCTGTCAAGCACCTTATCTACTGGGAACGCTTGGAAGCACTTGACTTGTACTCGTTGGAACACAGGGGGGAGAGATATATCATAATCTACACTTGGAAAATCCTGGAAGGAATGGTCCCAAATCTGCACACAGAAATCACTCCCTACGAAAGTAAAAGACTGTGCAAGCGATGCAAAATGCCCCCCAAATAAAAGTAGGGGCTCCATTGGTACATTAAGGGAAAACACCATAAGTGCCCAGGGCCCAAGACTGTTCAACAGCCTCCCATCAAGCATTAGGGGAATTGCCAATAAACCCCTGGCTGCCTTCAAAAGAGAGCTGGACAGATACCTAAAGTCAGTGCCGGATCAGCCGGGCTGTGGCTCGTACGTTGGACTGCGTGCGGCCAGCAGTAACAGCCTAGTTGATCAGGCCCTGATCCATCGGGAGGCCTGGTCATGGACCGGGCCGCGGGGGCGTTGATCCCCGGAATAACCTCCAGGTAACCTCCACCCTCTCCTAGAAGGAAAGCACAGTACATATTCATTTAAACCATTGATAAGCTATAAATGATTTGTTGCTCACTATGTCAGTTATGATGCCAGGCTTTGGTGATGAGTCAGACTGTTGTTACTTGATGAGTCAGACTGTTGTTACTTGATGAGTCAGAATGTTGTTACTTGACAAGTCAGACTGTTGTTACTTGTTGAGTCAGACTGTTGTTACTTGATGAGTCAGACTGTTGTTACTTGATGAGTCAGACTGTTGTTACTTGATGAGTAAGACAGCTGTTACTTGTTGAGTCAGACTTTTGTTACTTGATGAGTCAGACTGTTGTTACTTATTGAGTCACACTGTTGATACTTGACGAATTAGACTGCTGTTACATGATGAGTTTGACTTGTTACTTGATGAGACACTCTTGTAACTTGATGAGTCACTGTTGTTACTTGATGAGTCAGACTGTTGTTACCTGATGAGTCAGACTGTTGTTACTTGATGAGTCAGACTGTTGTTACTTGATGAGTCAGAATGTTGTGTTGTTACTTGATGAATCAGACTGTTGCTACTTCTTGACCCAGATTGTTGCTACTTGATGAATCAGACTGTTTTTACGTGATGAGTCAGACTGTTACTTGATGAGTCATTGTTGTTACTTAATAAGTCAGACTGTTGTTACTTGATGAGTCATTGTTGTTACTTAATAAGTCAGACTGTTGTTACTTGATGAGTAACTGTTGTTACTTGAGGAGTCAGACTGTTACTTGATGAGTCAAACTCTTGCTATTTGATGAATCAGACTGTTGTTACCTGTTGAGTCAGACTGTTGTTACTTGATGAGTCAGACTGTTGTTACTTGATGAGTCAGACTGTTGTTACTTGATGAGTCAGACTGTTGTTACTTGATGAGTCAGACTGTTGTTACTTGATGAGTCAGACTGTTGTTACTTGATGAGTCAGACTGTTGTTACTTGATGAGTCAGGCTGTTGTTACTTGATGAGTCAGACTGTTGTTACGTGGTCTGACCTCTGTGTATAGGAACCCTCGGGCGCACACAACAATGCACTAATTACCATCGTTCATTAACTTGAATATTTACAATTACTGCGAAGAGTGACTGGTTAGGGAAGTTAAGGGCCAGAAGTGGCGATGGAACGACACCAGATATTTTTCTGATACCAATAACTATAATCAGTTTTACGCCGATACTTCTACCTGTGCAGATACCATTAGAACTAGCCGATATCACCGATACGTATACCTTGGCACACAAAGTCCCTCCTGTGTACGGCGCAGCTTAATATTCCTTCATGACTACACTCACATACAATACAATACATTCCACGACTATCACCACAACACAGTACATTCCACGACTATCACCACAACACAATACATTCCAAAACTATCACCTCAACACAATACATTCCACGACTATCACCACAACACAATACATTCCACGACTATCACCACAACACAATACATTCCACGACTATCACCACAACACAATACATTCCACGACTATCACCACAACACAATACATTCCACGACTATCACCACAGCACAATACATTCCACGACTATCACCACAACACAATACATTCCACGACTATCACCACAACACAATACATTCCACGACTATCACCACAACACAATACATTCCACGACTATCACCACAGCACAATACATTCACGACTATCACCACAACACATATACATTCCACGACTATCACCACAACACAATACATTCCACGACTATCACCACAACACAATACATTCCACGACTATCACCACAGCACAATACATTCCACGACTATCACCACAACACAATACATTCCACGACTATCACCACAACACAATACATTCCACGACTATCACCACAACACAATACATTCCAAAACTATCACCTCAACACAATACATTCCACGACTATCACCACAACACATCTTCCTACCCACAGTTATTAATCCCTGACGAGGGTCGGCACAAAGGAGGAAACATTTTTTAGATATTTTTATTAAACAAAATTATGTGAACCCACAGGTTGTGATTCATGGTTAAATATGTAAGGAAGGTAATAGTAACAGTGGGTTGGCATTTTATCCCGCTACATGCCATCACCCAGGTTGGATTTTGTAAAAAGGATCCGAGAAATCGCTCGTTTGAATTCTTCAGTTGGCGATGATGAAATGGTCAAGAATTTCACTACAGAAGCTTTAAAAGTTTGATTATGAAGCGAAGGTGTTTTTGGGGAAACAGAGAAAGGAGGTGAAAACGACGAAGAAGAATTGAAAAAAGATGTAAACAAAAGAGTAAAAAGGAGAGATGAAAGATCACACATAGGAATGAGGGGGAGGAAGAAAAAATGGAGAAGAGAAAACTGCATACGTTCAAAATAGTTTGTTAAACTAAGGATAATTGCAATAATAATGTTAATATTTTCCTGTTCACAAAAAAAATATAATATACGATCTAATGTGTTCTAACAGCCATCCTAACAGGCTGGTTGTTGTAGATGCTACTGGATTAAAACGTGTATGAGAAGTTTTAAACTGTAATGCGACGTTGGTAAACTGCATAAAGTTACCCTATGGTGTGGGTATAGGAAGGAAGCCTCCCTGCCCTGAGTAACTCTTACTGCTAAGTCTTCAGAGGGAAACATTCCTTAAATTGTAAATTAATGGTGGAGGTTATATAATCTATGAAAACGAAAGCGGTTATCATTGCGAGTTTTCCTGTTTGAGTCCTCTGGATCTCTTCCATAGGATGTAATCCTCAAATATTCAATAATCTAATTTTTTAATACTTTAAGATGCCCAAAATTCCACGTATGGAGAGCACAACATAATACTACTACTACTACTACTACTACTACTACTAATAATAATAATAATAATAATAATAATAATAATAATAATACATGGTAAACAGGTCTAGCTAGCATCAATGACATACTACTATACAGAAAGCAGCTCGTTATGCTGAGTATTTCGGGCAAATTGGGTCAGTTTTGTCCCAGGATGCGACCCACACCAGTCCACTAACACCCAGGTACCCATTTTGAACTGAGCTGTGAGCTGAGTGCGCTAGTGATCAAAATACGGGACACAAATACGTATCAAGATGCCAGACATAATAAAAAAAATGGAAGAGAGACCATCTAAGAAAACTGTACTGGAAACCATAATAACCCAAGGAATAATTACACAGACAAGGCAAAGTAAAGCAGTGACCCGTTCCACACATTTATGTGAAAAAAGAATTAGGTCAGGGATAGCAAGACTATATATCTCACCTATTTCTTGTGTTACATAAATACTCTATATTTCATCATTATCTCACCGTCTAAAACATCTCATGTATGTGTTTCTATAAATGCTCCAAACATGGTATTTGCTTTTGTGATGAATTAACCATTTGTTGTACTAGACAATTGAATTTATCTAATGAGATGTTGTGTAAGATCTATGTAATAAAGGGAAAATAGGACTAATAAATATCTTTACGATTTCACAGACAAGATAGAGAAGATAGCTCCTTTGAAAGTCTTGAAATCTCCACACTCATTATCCTTCTCGAAAAGCAATCTATACTCCTTGAAACATAGATGAGCGATATACATTACAATATACACCTAAAAAATTCTAAAAGAATTGATCCAAAATCTGCCCACACAGATCATTTCCCATAAACGTGAGAGGCTTCGCAGTCAGTGCAAAATGTCCCCAGTGAAAAGCAGAGCAACTCTGCCACATCCAAGGAAATTTTTCAATAAGAATGAAGGAACCATGACTGTAGAGTCACTTCATACACACATGGGATTGCCAACGGGTCCCATATCTGCCCTCGAATAATTCCTCCATGGAAGGGGCTTGGCAGATGGTGCAAAATGCCCTCAATAAAAAAAAAAACAGGATTGCATGAACCAGAAGATTAAGAGTACACCAAAGGAAAACCCATTAGAGGGATTACCAACAAATATCCGACTGTCTTCAAGAAAGAACAGGACAAGTAGGTCAGGTCAGTCCCTGATCATCCCGGCTGTGGTGTTAAAGTTGTACTTCATGGGGTTAGCGCTAACAGCCTGGATGATAAAGCCATCTATCCGGAAACGTAGTTGGGGACTGCGTCGCGAAGGTGTTTACCCTCGGAAAACTCCAGGTAGACTCCAGGTAGGCAGACCAGCCTACACCCAGCTATACACTGATCCACTAGATCGAAGAGATTTTAACTCTCGTCACTCAATACAACATAAATTCCTGAAAGCACAATGTTTCACAGTAATATATTAATAATAATGGGTCTGATCACTTACCTGATTCGACGATGTTAGGTGCGTATCCATTACTAATGAGACAAAGGAATAAAAGTAAGACTTTGCAGTTTTCCATAATGGCTGTAATACAAACACTAGTAATAAAGCTTCACATGACCATGATAGCACAACACACTACACCAACACATCACACACGGCAACACTATCCCACACTTCGTCGTCGTCGTCGTCCCCCTCCACCTCCTCCACATCCTCCCCTTCCTCCTCCTCCTCCTCCTGGCCACACTAACACTGTTCACGTTATCGTACTGCACTATCTATCATTAAGCAGTATATATTAAGAGAATGAAGTGGAGTACCACATGAACACTTAGTATAAAATATGTACAAGTTACACTACATAACATTTATTACGCCTTGGAACGACTCATAAACAAATATCGTCAAAAAAAAAGTATCATTCATACGTCGTATAGAAAATATATAAAGAGTGGAAAGAAGGGCAGTACAGCACAGTCACTTGGTGACACTGACAAACGTCTTGTTTTTAACATTTCAAACCGTGCCAAGTGGTACACCACTGCCAGATACATATTCAATTTGTTTAATAGGCATTTATGCACGCGCGCCCGCAAGCACGCACACACACACACAAACACAGAAGAGGTGGGGCCAGGAGCTGAGTTTCGACTCCTGAAACCACAATTAGGTGAGTACACACACACACAAAGTAATTTTGAAAGCAGAATCAACTGGAACCATGATCCTGCAGGAGAAAGCACTGCTGAGGGACAAACTGGAGTTCCAGAGTGTGTACCTCGATCGAGTCAGAACGCAAGGGAGGAAAGGATGATACTGAAATAGTGCAAAAACGAAAGGATAAATGGGAGGAAATGACAAAGAAAATCAGAATAACCCAGACACAGGTGGAAGGGCAAACACAACCCCTAAAAACAGCCACAGAAGGACTCCAACCACGACAAAACCAAAGCAACTGAACAATCTAAACCAACAATCACACATTGAACCCTCTGTCCCCACCCCCCACACCATGAACCCCATCCCTACAGCAACCCCATATGGGAACTCTGCCCCCACCCCCACCACAACCCCCAAAGCCCCCCACCAGTGCTCCTGCTCTCCAAACCCCAATATTCTCCCAGGACCACAGTTTTAGATCAGAAGTTGAAGCTTTGGTACACGAATGCTGATGGAATAACGAAAAAATATGAGGAGTGGCATGAGAGAATCAATGCGAAGTCCCCAGACATCATAGCAGTCACAGAAACTAAACTCACTGAGACAATAACAGATGCAATCTTCCCACCAGGATATCAGATCCTGAAGAAAGATAGAACGAGCAGAGGGGGAGGAGGGGTTGCACTGCTTGTAAAAAACTGATGGAAATTTAAGGAAATGGGAGGCACGGACGAGACTGGAGAAAGGGAATACATAGGTACACTTCAGTCTGGGGAGCACAAGGTGGTCATTTCAGTGATATATAATCCATCACAGAACTGCAGGAGGCCAAGAGAGGAATGTGAAGAGAGCAACAGAGCAATGGTGGACACACTGGCTGAGGTGGCAAGAAGCTCACTCGAGCAGAGCAAAGTTATTGGTTATGGGCGATTTCAACCACAGGGAGATCGTAGGACAGGGAACTGGTAGGAAAGTCAGTAAACGAAATGATGGAATATATAACAACAAAATGCAATGAGGCAGAGGAAAGGTTTGTTCCCAAGGGCAACAGAAATAATGGGAAGCCCCAGGTTTACCCAACCGTGTAAGGAGGCAAAAACTAAGTGCACTAGAGAATGGAAAAATTACAGAAGGCAAAGAACAGAGGAAAATAAGGAGATTAGTAGAAGATCCAGGAACGAGTATGCACAGGTAAGGAGGGAGGCCCAGCGACAGTATGAAAATAACATAACAACGAAACTCAAGAGAGGAATATGAAGAGAACAACAGAGCAATGGTGGACTCACTGGCTGAGGTGGCAAGAAGAGCTCACTCGAGCAGAGCAAAGTTACTGGTTATGGGCGATTTCAACCACAGGGAGATCGACTGGGAAAACGTGGAGCCACACGGGGGTCCCAAAACACGTAGAGCCATATCAGACATAGAGATATAACCCACAGCACCGTATCATCCTTTGCTGATGATACTAGGATCTGCATGAGGCTGTCATCTATTGAGGATGCGGCTAACCTCCAAGAAGATATAAAAAAAGTTTTCCAGTGGGCAACGGAAAACAATATGATGTTCAATGAGGACAAATTCCAACTACTCCGTTATGGAAAACTGGAGGGGATGATAACTAGGACAGAGTATACTACAAACTCTGGCCATACAATAGATATTAAAAATAATGTAAGGGACCTGGGAGTAGTAATGTCTGAGGATCTCACTTTCAAGGATCACAACAGTGCCACGATCACAAGTGCAAAGAAAATGATAGGATGGATAATGAGAACGTTCAAAACGAGAGATGCCAAGCCAATGATGATCCTTTTCAAATCACTTGCTCTCTCTAGGCTGGAATACTGTTGTACATTAACATCCCAGTTCAAAGTAGGTGAAATTGCAGATCTAGAGAGAATACAGAGAACCTTTACTGCACGTATAAGTTCTGTCAAGCACCTTAACTACTGGGAACGCTTGGAAGCACTTGACTTGTACTCGTTGGAACGCAGGAGAGAGAGATATATCATAATCTACGCTTGGAAAATCCTGGAAGGAATGGTGCCGAATCTGCACACAGAAATCACTCCCTACGAAAGTGAAAGACTGGGCAGGCGATACAAATTACCCCAAATTAAAAGTAGGGGCGCCACTGGTACACTAACAGAAAACACCATAAGTGTCCGAGGCCTAAGACTGTTCAACAGCCTTCCACAGAGCATAAGGGAAATTACCAATATACCCCCGGCTGCCTTCATGAGAGAGCTGGACAGATACCTAAAGTCAGTGCCAGATCAGCCGGACTGTGGTTCGTACGTCGGACTACGTGCGGCCAGCAGTAACAGCCTGGTTGATCAGGCCCTGATCCACCGGGAGGCCTGGTCGTGGACCGGGCCGCGGGGGCGTTGATCCCCGGAATCACCTCCAGGTAAGTCTGACCTGAAACTGCTGTATAGCCACATTAGGAGGATGACAACAGTCAAAGACCAGGTGATCAGGCTGAGGAAATAAGGTGGGGAACTCACACGAAACGATAACGAGGTGAGGAGCTCAACATGAGATTTAAGAAAGTATTTAAAGTAGAGACAGGAAGGACTCTGGGAAGACAGCACATAGGGAAACACAAAGAGGGAATATACCAACAAGTGTTGGATGACATACAAACAACGGAGGAAGAGGTGCAAAAAAGAAGGAGCAGAGACGCTGTGTCTGCCACTACCACAGTATTCAATACATCCCTTGAAACTGGGCAACTACCTTAGGTATGGAAGACGGCAAATGCAGTCTCCATTTTTAAGAAGGGAGACGGAAACGAGGCACCAAACTACAGACCAGTGTCTCTGATGTGTATAGTATGCAAAGTCATGGAGAAGATTATCAGGAGGAGAGTGGTGGAGCACCTGGAATGGAACAAGATTATAAACGATCAGGCCGATTTCCCTCAACCTTTCTTCATAGGACATTCCCCTGAGCTCAGGAACTAACCTTGTTGCAAACCTTTGCACTTTCTCTAATTTCTTGATGTGCTTGACTAGGTGTGGGTTCATAACTGGTGCTGTATACTCCAGTATGGGCCTGATGTACGTAGTGTACAATGTCTTGAATGATTCCTAAGGTATCAGAATGCTATTCTCAGGTTTGCCAGGTGCCCATGTGCTGCAGCAGTTATCTGGCTGATGTGTGCTTCCGGGGATGTGCTCGGTGTTATGCTCACCCTAAGATCTTTCTCCTTGAGTGAGATTTGCAGTCTTTGACCACCTAGCCTGTATTCTGTCTGCGGTCTTCTTTGCCCTTCCCCGATCTTCATGACTTGGCGGGGTTGAATTCGAGAAGTCAGTTGCTGGACCACATGTTCAGCCTGTCAAGATCTTTTTGTACTCCTGCCTGATCCTCATCTGATTTAATTCTCCTCACTAACTTCACATCATCTGCAAACAGAGACACTTCTGAGTCTATCCCTTCCATCATGTCATTCACATATACCAAAAATAGCACTGGTCCTAGGACTGACCCCTGTGGTACCCCGCTCATCACAGGTGCCCACTGTGATTCATCATCATGTACCATGACTCGTTGTTGCCTCCCTGTCAGGTATTCTGATCCATTGCAGTGCCCTTCCTGTTATACACGCCTGATCCTCCAACTTCTGCACTAATCTCTTGTGAGGAACTGTGTCGAAGGCCTTCCTGCAGCCCAGGAAAATGCAATCAACCCACCCCTCTCTATGTCTTACTTCTGTTACTTTGTTATAAAACTCCAGTTTGTGACACAGGATTTCCCTTCCATGAATCTGTGCTGGTTGTCATTTATAATCTTGTTCCATTCCAGGTGCTCCACCACTCTCCTCCTGATAATCTTCTCCATGACTTTGCATACTATACACGTCAGTGACAGTAGTCTGTAGTTTAGAGCCTTGTTTCTGTCTCCTTTTTTCAAAATGGGGACTACATTTGCCGTCTTCCATACCTGTGTATGTGTGTCGTGATGAATAGGTAAAACTGGTCAATTAGCATGAGCTCAATTAAAATTAAGTCATTTCTAAAATTTTCTCTTATACATGTAAAGACATATTTTTTTTAATTTATGTTAATATAAAAATTAATGATTTTGTACCAAAAGAACCTTAGAAAACTTATCGAACCTTATTATAAAAAGTGAAATTTAATTTAGACTAATCCAACTAAATATATTTTATATAAGTTTACAATAATTTAACAATAAACAAACACAATGAAATATATATTTTTCGTTGGGTTCACAATGATTTTTGCGAAATTATTGCATACACAAATTTTTGCTTGCCCTATTCGGCAAGATGTGCATTGCTATTTAATTCAAAATCGTAAGTTTTACTTATTTAGCACGACATATATAATTTTTTACTATTAACACTCACTTCCTACCATCGCAGAGTGGCCGAAGAAAAAAAAACTTTCATCATTCATTCCATCACAGTTTTTAATCAATCTCTGTTTCACAATCCCAGTGTTTTTTAAAACACGGTTTATAATGAT